AAAACTTATCCATGGAGCGCAAAAAAAGATTTTTTTAAAGCTTCTTTATCAACATGATTGAACATTTTTTTCAGATTATTCGGTTTCAGATATTCACTACCTTCATCATACTCAAAATAATCGTCAGAGAGTGAAAAACGACAGCTGAAATTTTTTTGAGAGTCAGAAAGTTTCGAATTCCGATAAATTATTTTGAACTGGACAATAAAAGCCATTTTTCCTCTTTGAAATGTTTTAATTTTCCTCAAATTTTCATTTTTGAAAGTTTCATCAACGCCTAAAGCCAGATCCGGTCCAAACTTTTGTGGTAGGTAGTCCCAGATTTGAGTATTCGAAAACAAAAAGACATATCTGCTAAGCGCCATAGGGTACTGAGAAACAGACTGTCGAAAATGTACGAACTAAGCTCAAAAACTGATTTTCTTTGGTTTTTCGATTTCTGGAACGTCTATTGGTATTGAAAATATCCTAAGTGATGTGAGAAAGAATTTTTTTTCCACTGAAGACCCAAAGGAAAATCAGTTTTGGGCCATTTCCACGCATTTTCAACAGGCTGTTTCTCAGTACCCTATGGCGCTTAGCAGATATTTCTTTTAGTTTTCGAATACTCAAACCTGGGACTACCTACCACAGAAGTTTGAACCATATCGGCGTTGCTCACCACACATTCTTACCTCGTCAATCCAGAAAACTCAATTGACTTGGTTAGATAATAAAGGGAAAAGCTGCTCCACGGCAAAACTTTTGTGTTTTTGATGGTGTCTTGTACATTGGTAACGCGAAACAGACGTTTCTGGCCATTTCTAGTAACCACTTTAGCAGCTTCAGGACTCTTAAGTTGTCCCCAGAATCTCTCAGAAACGTCCGGAGCACGTCCGTTCCGCGTTACCGATGCCCGAGTATTTTATTATATTATCCATGGTATTCAACCCTCTCAGACAATAAAAAACCGAGGGGAAAAGCTGCTCTACCGCCAAACTTTCCGCTTTTAATTGTGTCGGGCGGCAAAGAGGGACAAGACAAGGCGGCTAATTAATGGCGCACGTGTGGCGCGGCGCCATCAAAAAGCTTCTAAAGAGCTACCGTAATCCTGTAGATTCGCCGTAGAGCAACTGTTTTGTCAAGAAGCCGGGGGTTATTTTTCAATGTTGCATTTTTCTCAGGAGCCTTATTTCTTCAAACTTCGAAAAATTAATTTTTTGGGGTAGGTTCACGAAACTGAAAAAAAGGAAAATTAAGAGATTCGAAAGAAAATGCTAGAGTTCTCTTATGAGGCTCTCTTGATGCAAAAAAAAATCTGTTTAAAAAAAAATGTAGCATGCGCGCTCCAATTCTATTTTCCATTTCTGTCTGTTCTCCGATTAACCACACATCATCCGTTCGAAAGCTCAATTTAAAAAAATGTAATTTTTCTAGAGTTAACGACTTAATTTCTTCTTTCAACTGGGATCGGCAGTTCAGCTACTTTTTCCTCTGTTGAGAGTAAATTTTTCTCATTTTTTTAAAAAAATTTTTTTAATGAAATTGTTCGTGATTCCTGTTCTAGTTTTCTAACTCCCCCTCAGTCGTCGCCCATTCAACCATGACAATCGTATTCGCCGGCTAAATATTAAAAAGAGCCAGTCTCATTCGTGCTAATCTTTTTCAATAATTCTACTCGCCTCCAATTCAATCTACTGTATAAAAAAATCAAAGCTTGTGCCTCCTCCATCTCCCTGGCACAGGAAACTTACATTGCTAACAATTTCAACCATGTTCAACTTTTCCAAATATATCTCCAAAAAAACTCAAATGTTGTTCTTCCATCCCCAACATTACTTACAACAATTCCCTTATTTCTGAAAGCTCCTCAAAAAGCAGATGTTTTTTTGCTCAAATTTTTTTAGCACAAATTTTTTTCTGATGAAGTTTACGATTTGATGCCCATTTTCCCTTCCCCAAAAAGCCACTAACTGCTCTATTTCGTTCACTCCTGAACTTGTTTATAAAAACTCTGATAGCTTTACCTCCCAAATGCGGTTTTTCGCCTGACTTAATCAATCAACTTGTTTTAAAAAGGTGCTCTACATCTATTTCTATTCCTCTGTCTATTCTGTTTAACGAATCTTTTTATTCCGGTTTCATTCCACCCTCCTGGAAATCTACCACGGTAATTCCTATTTTCAAACGTGGAAAAACTTCAGATCCGTCAAACTACCGCCCTATATCCTTGACACATCCTTTGTCCCGGGCCTTTGAAAGGATTATTTGTGATATGATTCGCCGGAGATTCTCCTCATTGTTTTTCTGAATCTCAGTTTGGTTTTTTTAAACAAACGATCTTGCAAGCTTAACCTTCTATCTTGCCTCTCCTCTTGGCAAAAAAATCTATCGCCTCGAAAAAAATTTGTCGATGTTGTTTATTTTTGACTTTGCCAAGGCTTTTGATAAGGTAAATCATTCTCTGCTTGTTCATAAGCTCAAGAACTTTGGTCTTGACGAAAAACGTTGTTCGATGGTACAAAAAAACTTCTTATCTGAGCGTGTTTCTAATGTTCTGATCGATGGATCTCGTTCTTCTCTTACTTATCTCAATACTTCCGGTGTCCTTCAAGGAACTGTATCTGGTCCTTTGCTTTTTTTCTAATTTTTCATCAATGATATTGTTAACTACATTGACCATGAAACCTCAATCTCTCTGTTCGCTGATGATATAAAAAAATTTACAGTTCTAACCCTGAATCTCTCCAACGTAGTATTAATTCCATATTTGAATGGTCTTCCATTTGGGGCTTTGCCTCTTGCTGCGCACAAAACTTTTGCTATCAACCTTGGTCCCCTCAATCCCAAAAACAACTTATTTAATCAATGGTCTGTCTATTCCCAGAAAAAAACCATTATCCGTGATCTAGGTGTTCTTATCGATGATAAACTAACTCTCGCTCCTCACATTAACAATATCGTTTCTTTTAGCAACCCTTCGTTCCAATCAGATACTCAACTGTTTTTCGTTCCAAATCACCTGATCTATTGTTCAAAAATTTTTTTAACACCTATGTAAGGCCTATTCTAGAATACTGCTCTGAAGTTTTTTTAACCCTCCCCTTAACTCTGATCTCTGCTACAAACTGGAATCTCCTCTCAGAATTTTTTCTCGTAAAATTTTTATTAGGTCCAACTTATCCTTTGAATCTTACTCTGATCGCCTTGAACAATTTGATATCTCTCCACTTTACCTCAGACGAGCTATATCTGACATTCTGACCCTTCATAAAATTGTCTTCGGTATCGATCATTTTCCCCAGTTCGAACTTTTTGCCCTCAGGTCCAATTTAAGGCGAAATCCACTTCGACTGCGTTCTCAAGGTCAGTTTTCTAATGATTTTTTTCTTTTAAAAACAATTCCTACTTGGAACAAACTCACTTCCAAATTTCAATTCAGCCACCACCCCAAGTCTTTAAAAAAATTTACTGGTCAATCTACCATTGCACGAGATCTTCTTGTCTATTCCTCCACGACTCAAATGATGTATAACTGTATAATGTATTCTCTCAAATTCTAGATCCAAGTGAACTCGTTAGGGTTCACGCTGATCTGTCAATAAATTATTATTATAAGGGCACTATCTCTCAAAATTGTGAAAAAAAAGGAGAAAAGGGCCATAAAAATGGGTAAAGCTTTCGTTAATCACAAGAAAATTATTTTTTACTTAAATCAGGATTTTTCTGAATTTTTGCCAACTACTTCATATGTTCTAGAAAAAATATCCTAAAAGTTCCAAAAATGTCCTAATTCTCGTGAAAAGACACCTCAAAATCGAAAAGAAACCATTGAAAACCGATAAAATTGGCCATTTCGAAAGGCTTTGAGTCCTTATTGGAGAGATTCAAGTGGTCTCTTTAGGGTTTTGACGTTTAGGTGGCCACTACAGGGGTCGAATTGATGCCTTCTACAACGGCTTAATGTTAGTGGCCTATTTGAAAATCTGATTGTTTATACTAGAACACTTAAAACGACTATAGTGGTCCCTAAGACGAAAAATAGTGGCTTCTATAGAGGTGGTTTCAGTGGTCCCTTTAGTGTACTCTCCAGTAGTCCTTGAGGGACCTCTTAAGTGGCGACTAGAGTTTTCCCAGTATTTATTGAAAAACTAAAAGTTCTGAAGAATAGTGCTCTCCGAATTTTTATCTAATGAATCAAGAATCATTTTGGCCAATTTTAAGAAAGTTTTTTTTTCTAGCCCGTTAAAGTTTCAGGATGAGCTATAGAAAATCTGAAATGAAGCTGAAAGTCCTCTTCTTCAAACTGTGTTCAACCCAACTGACTCAGAAAATTTTTATTGGCCACTATAGAGGCTCGCCATGGACTACAAGGAGAGGACACTAAAGTGGCCACTAATTCCAGCCCTATAGTGGCCACTTCTGTGGTTTTTCATTCAGTATTCCTTCCAGTAACTCTGATAATTTTAAAACAAACAGATCGGACCAGTTTTATTGATCCATTGACCCCTAAAGTGGCCACTAAAATTTTCTGTGGTCTAGTAATAGCACTTAGACCCCTATAGTGGTCACTAAATTTTAACTCCTAAGTGGCCACTAATCTTACTACTATAGCGGCCACTAGAAATTTTCCCACTTCCTTGTAAGGAAAATCCTCTTTTTGGGCCGTTTTTTCCGCTCAAAACTTTGTTAAAGTTCTAAAATCAGTTATATCTTAAATTAATCCAAAACTAGAACTATTCATCTCAAAACCTCGTTTCTAGACCCGTTAAAATTCTAGGATGAGCTATGAAAAATCTGAAATGAAGCTAAAATTCCTCTTCTCCAAACTATGTTCAACCAAATTGAAGTTTTTTTTTGATTTAATCTAGAATTTCTCATCTCAAAACTCTTTTCAACCCAATTAAAGTTCTAAAATAAGAAATATCAAACCCAAATCTGAAGCCAAGGCAAACAACCCAACCGCACCCAGATCCCCAAACAAATAGCTATCCATCACAAACACCCGCATTACCTCGGAAATGCCCCCTTCGCGCTCGGAAATGCTGGCCGCCCTGCATCGGATGCGTCTGGAGCTCGAGGCTTCGTCATCAGACGACGTCGACGACGATTCGGGTCTTCTGGAGCGGAATGGCAGCGTCCGGGGTCGACGTCTTCACGTCCTGAACGTCGTCAGGTCGATGCGTCTTCGGATGCAGCTGAAGGTGGGAAATCTATCATTTTCGTGACTTCAAACAGTCTGGCCCGTCTGGGCTCTCTTTTCTCTCGCCTTCGAGGTCAGAAGGACGTGAAAATAGCATTTAAAAGAAAGAGAGCGCGTAAAAATCGAGTTTTTCTAATTTTCGACGAATGGGCTAAATCATTAAGAAGGAGTTTTCTGACCTGTCTGCACTCTCTTTTCTCTCGCCGTTGAGGACAAAGAAAGGTGAAAAGATCACGTAAAAATGAGAGGGTCGGTTAGAGAAAAAGAGAGTAGAGAGAAACTTCTGCCATATTTGTCCAAAATCAAGGCTTCATCTTTTTTCGCTCAACACTCTGACCTATCTGCGCCCTCTTTTCTCTAACCGGCAAGGCCAGCTATAAGTGAAAATAGCAGGTAAGCACGAGAGAGCGCAGAGAGGTCAGACTGTCTCCAGTTTTCAAGTATAGACTGTAGAATATTTGCCAAAAGATGAAAAAATCTGATTTCTCTAGGCCCTCTCATGTTCGCGTGATATTTCTCCGACTTTAACGGTGAGGGAAAAGAGAGCCTAGAGAAGTCAGACTGTTCCAAGATTTCATGTACAGAGTTCTCGTCAAAACTAGATATTTTCTGATTTCTCTGGGCCCTCTCATTCTCGCGTGCTATTTTCATGATTCTTCAACCTCAAAAGCGAGGGAAAAGAGAGCGCAGAGAAGTCAGACCGTTTCAAAAACACAGTAGTTCTTTTGAAAGGCTACAAAGCGAGAAAATGTAAAAAAAAACAACAGGGAGATTCATGAATGATTACAGTACGAATTTTGTTACCGTATTCCAGCGTGACTACATCAAGGAGGAGACGGGGCTCGTCGTCGTCTACATGACGTCATGCGGGATTCTGCGAAGCTTATGGGAACGATGCAAAGAAGCGGTTCGTTTTGAACTGACAGAGAGGTTCAAAAATGAGAATTCGTTGAAAATTGAGGTGTACTTCAAGTGGCCCCGAACTCGATTTACAAAAATTCCGCCTTTTACTATATTTCCGAATTATTACGACGCCTCACAGTTCGCATTTCAGTGCAAAAATCAACGATTTTACTGAAAAAAGACCTGAAAACTTTGAGAGGAAGCAAAACGCTTGAAAACTCCCGACTTCCAGTGATTTCAAAGTCTAAATTTTTCTTTTCATCACTGACCTCATCCTTTCAAGGTCGACCTCCTGCAGGCGCATGGTATTCGAACCCAAATCCGGGACCTCAACATGGACGGCGCCTTGACCCAAGAGCTACTGGATCGCATGCAGATCCTTCAGGTCTCCCTTAAAAACTGATTTTTCTTCAACTTTATAAAAATCATCATCTCACCTATTAACGAGAGTGAAGTTGAAGACCTCTCCTGTGGTTCAGAAACCCAAATTTTGGGACTTCTCATCTTTCTCTATACAATTTTATAGGTATTTATCGATTGAGAAGCTTTCCGAAGCTTGATCTAACCAGCCTAATCCGTTTTTATCAATCTAAATTCATCTTTAGGTTCTCCACTTCTCTTCGACTCATTTTTCCAAGGTCTCAGCCCTTTTTAACTGGATGTTTTGAGCAAAAACTGGCTTTCCTTAACTTTATTCAAGCTCTATCTCTATTTTCTCAATTTCAACTCGAGTTTTAGTCTCGTCCAACTTTAATTGAGCTTCCTCTAACCATAATCAATAAGATAGCTTTTCAGAACACTGTCTAAGTGTCCCTGAAGCTTCACCTCACAATCTTTCTCCCTTTTTAGCCTCATTTCTAAGAGCAGTCCCTATAGGGGCCTTGGAAAGTCCTCTCTAGGAACCAATTCCCTACCCCTCTAGGGGCCACTATAGGGGTCTTAGTTAGTGACACCCAAGGGGGACATTCTAGACGATAATTATTATGAACTTACGCTTTAGAGGCTAAGGAGTCAGACTCTAAACTCCTATAGGGCTCACCTTAACTTTACCCCTATAGGGACCACCTTTTGGCACCTATAGGTGTTGTTTTCCCCACTAACCCTTATAGGGACCACTCTGGAATTCCTACGTTGCAGAAATCTCAAATAACTGATCAATTTTCCTTCTAGAACAATCGAGACTTGGTCTTCGCCAGTTTACCCGTGATCTACGTCGACGGAAAATATTTTGGGGTTTCCAAAAATCAAGCTTTTTCTAGAAATGAATAATTTTCAGAACGGCAAGACCTTACTCGAGTTGAACGAGCGGAAGGAGCTGAAAAAGTACCTGGAAAAGTTTCAGGTGAGTATAAAACTTTTGGGGCCTGGAAAAGTGAATCTACAGTACTCAAGTCATCAAAACACCCACAGTATCTCGAGAAAAGTTCATTTTTCGGTTTCTGTAGCTAACTTGAATAATTTCCACAGTAATCCAGGCCATTTTAAGTCATACAGTAATCTGAGAAAGTACAAATTCTCACTTAAACTCACAAAAATAAAGTTTTCTATTCACCAACATCCCAACAAAGCTACTTATAAAAATTCTACAGTACTCCCAAAACCTACAGTAACCTTCCAAAACCCATTCCATTTGCAGGGCCGAGGCCGGTGCAGCTTCTGCGGCGGGTGCGGCTACGTCGTCTGCGGCAAATGCGACGGCGGGAAACGGAGCCGAGTGACGCCATGCGCGTTGCGGTGCGCTGCGTGCGACCGCAACGGAATCACCCCGTGCGGTTACTGTAGATTGTCGGAAAGGGCAAACGGTTACAAATAAATAAATATGTATTTATGAAAGAGACAATCGTGCAATATTAAAAAGTCGACAAAATACACATGAAAACGAAAAAAAGTAGGCATAGCCCTTTTTTTGGCCGCGTTTGGAATGGCTCAGATTTTTCTAAATTTAACAAAAAAATCTCTAGACAAACATCAAAAAAATGACGATTTTTTTCATAATATCTAATAAAGCTCTAGCAATTGAAGGTTTTTATGACGACGAAATCGAAATTAGGAAGTTTTAAAAAGACGCTTCCAAATGCGGCCGTTATCAGATTTTTTCAAAAAGTCCATTTTTTGAATTCTACTGTCAACTTTCCAAAGCAAGCCATTCCAAATGCGACCATTTTTTGCTGCGCAGGACTTCTCAAGCCCCTGAGCCATTCCAAATGCGACCACCGAAAAATTCTCTCGAAAACGGTCAATTTTCTGGGCTAGTTTCTCCATTTTTCTATAGTTAGAAAGACTTTCAAAAGCATGTAAGCCATTCCAAATGCGACCATCGCAAAGTTATCTCCAAAAAGCTCAATTTCCTGTGCCAATTTCTAAACTTTCTAAAGTTAGGAAGACTTTGAAAAGGAACCGACCCATTCCAAATGCGGCCACCATGAAATTAGCTCCGGAAAGCTTTCGGGTTCTACAGGGAGCTTTCAACAATTGATAAAACTTTTCAAGCACTTAAGCCATTCCAAATGCGACCACCTACATATTTTCCGACCTCAAGCCATTCTGATAGCCTGGCAGCGGACATTGGCTAGATCAAAAATGGGCGGAGTCTCGAAGTAGAACTCTCCTCCGAGGATCTTCCCATCGAAGGAGTTGGTCATGAGGGCAGCCAAGGCGCAGTCTTCCGCGGTCGTGCCGGGGAACTGGGCGCGAACGACGACGTCCTGCGAGTCTTGCTTCGCCGGCGACTGCGATGCGACGTCGACGGCCGCGACGAGGAACGCCGGCGATCCCTTGAGGTCCCTCGAAATGACGCCGATTTGGCAGATGCTTCGTTCCTCGCACTGTTCCAGGAACTCGTTGTACTCCTTGACCTCGCGCCAGGTGACTTGGTATCGGAGCCAGGTCGTTCGGTCGCCGTCGCCGGCTTCTGGCGCCGGCTGGATGACGAAGCCGTTGAGCTTCACCTCGCCGTACGCGTTGATGACGTCGGTCAGCAGCTTGACCGACTTGCAGATGCCGACTGGAAAGTGCCTTTAGAGTAGAGGGGGAAAAACCATCGGAATAGGATCAGATTCGGAAAAAAATAAGGATCTCCAAGGAGCTCTTGAAGGCTCCTCTCAAGGGACCACTTTACCTTCCCCTACAGATGGTACTAAACCTTTCAAAAGTGATCACTCTAGGGGGAGCTTGCTATTGGTATTTTAATAGGTCTTCCAAATTAGGACAAAGAAAAAATTAAAAGACCACTGAAGGGCAGGCTCATGCCCCTATAGGGAGCACTATTTTGTCCCCTTAAGGAGCTGCTTTCTCCCTAATCTCTCTAGGGACCACTCTGGCCTCTCAGAGCTTTCTGAAAGTTCATCAAAATATTCCCGAAAGACTAGAAAGTCTTCAAAAAGCTCTAGTTTCCAAGAAAAGGCTATCTGGGACACTTGAAGGTCCCCCTCTAGGGACCACTTTACCTTTCTCTACAGGGTCACTTAAACTTACAAAAGTGACCACTCTAGGGGAGCATGCTAGTGGTAACAGAACAAGAAAATAAAAGACCCCTGAAGGGCAGACTCATGCCCCTAAAAAAGAAGTGGATCTTGGAGACGAGGACGAACTTCTGCTCGTCAAGCAGCGGTTTCTCGTCGCGGAGGGACTTGACGAGGTACCCGTAGACGGTCCGGAAAAGGCCGTCCAGCTCGTCGGTTTTGACGATCCTCGTGACCTTGTGTCCGATTGGCGAGACTTCCGGAATGTCCGGCAGCCAGGAATCCTCAGTTGAGATCGACTCGTCGCTGCTCACGCTGGAGAAGCTCGTCGACATGTCTGAAATTGTACAAAACTTGATAATTTTATCAGAAAAATTATATATATTTTTCATGATTTTTGAGGCTAGCTTTTTTTAGCTTGTGAGGAGAGCAAAACCTAGTGACCACTCAAGGGATTTTTTTGGAGAAAAGAAAAGCCTAGTAACCTCAAAGGGATTTTTTGGAGAAAAGAAAAGCCTAGTAACCTCAAGGGATTTTTTTCAAAGCGCTCCTCAACGAAGCAAAACTTGAGATAAGAAATTAAAAATTTCTTATCATTATTTTTCCGAAAAACGACCTAGTGATCACTTAAGGGGTCTAATTTAAAGCAACGCTGTAAGTACAGATTGAAACCTCGCGAATTCATGATTTTTTTATTTTTAAAAAAATTCCAAGAAAACAGTCTTCCATCAGTTTAGTAGAAGGCATCTGAATGGCCACTTGAGGAAATTTCTTTGAGTAATCACTCAAGGGAATTGAAAAATTCGACGTCAAGTGATTACTTAAGGAGCTCTCAATTCAGTTCTCACTTAAGGGATTCAAGAAGGAAGGTAATTTCAATATTTTCTCAAAATCACACAGACTTCTCTTCAAGGTACTGGATAAAGATCCTAGAAATCTCAACCTCAAAACTTTGAAATTTCAAGAAAAAGTTCGTTTTCAAAAAATTAATCAAAAACCATCTCACTTTCTGAAAAAAACTCAGAAAATCACGGACCGCTACTCAATGTTTCCTCGCTTTCGTTGGAAGTCATCTGAAACCGGAAAAAAATTATCTGAAAAACAAATTTTTTTGAATAGGTTACACGGCTCAAAACCGTAAAAAAATCAAAGCAAAAAAATGAAGAAAAAAACAAGAAAGAAATTTATAATCAGTCATGACCCATATTGTCAACATATCACAGGGAAAAACTCAAATAATGCATGAAATTAAATATAAAAAAAGGAGTTCTACGGATAAAACGTGCAGTGAAATTTTTAAAAATAGGACGAAAAAAATATGATGAGAAAAGCATGAGCCTTGAGGGAACCACAGATAAAATGAAAAAAGATAAAAATAGCGGTAAATTATTGAATTTCGACCGGCCGGCTACACATCATCACATGGAGGGGGGAACGTTTTTTTAATGTCTGTCAAACAGGTGACTCCGCCCCAACAGTTCCTTTTCGATTCGATTATATCACACAACGATGATCCTTTAATAATGACCCCCTTTTCGATCTAAAGGTTAGAAAAAAGTCAAAAAGTGCAGAGCTATTAAAGGAAGCGCGTTTTTGTGTATTATGTAGGATTGGTTATAATTCCGTAAGTTCTGAAACAGCAGGAAGCTATTCTGAAACGATCGGGGGGTCATTCTGAAATGGTCGGGGGGTCATTCTGAAATGGGAGGGGGCTGGTTCGAATGAGCTTTGGGGGGGACTATTTCAAAGCAGTGTGGGGGGCATATGAAAGATTGCCTGAGCGTTTCAGAATAGCCGGGGCGGAGTTTTGTTCAGCTTTTAATTGTCAAGTAGAATGACGTCATTCGAAAACGTTCTGTGGATGGCTCGCTCTCTTATTGGTTAATCTCGCCATTGAGGGCGGAGCTTGAGATTCCAATTCTGAATTGACTATACTCTAGCTATTGAGAAAATTGACTAAAAATCGACAATTATGTGAAAATTGAGCCGTGCTAAAAAGTGCGCATCCAATAAAAAAGAGGTAAAAACAACAGAATTTCAGGATTTTTGAGCAAATCCAATCTAGCAATGCTTCTGCTTGAGATAAGGAAGAACTGGGGCCAAAAATATCGAACTTCAAGACCTCTGGAAGCTCGAAAAAAGATCAGAAAAAGGGAAAAAAAATCAAGATTTCTGAACGGCCGAGCTTCTAACATCTTTCACATGGTCGAGCATAGTGGAGAAGAACATTTTCTTCGTCTCCAGGAGGACGCCGTCCTAGGAGTTGGCCATCAGGGCGGCGTGGGCGACGTCGATTTTGGTGAGTTCCGAGACCTGGGACCGGACATGGACGATCTCGTCGTTCCGAGTCGCGGGCTCGTCTCCCACCGACTTTCTGACGTTGAGGATGTAGGCGCAGGTGCCGGAGACATTTCTGGCGAGTCTTCCGAGGTTGCTGACGCGTCTCGAGAAACACTTGTGGGTGAACTCGTTGTAGTCGGCGAGCATCTTCTGCGTCACTTTCAGGGGAATTTCCTGGAAATGTTTGGTGACCACTGCAGGGTTTTGACGGTTTAGTGGCCACTATAGTGGCTTAAGTTTAGTGACCGCTTTAGGAGTTTGAACGGTACTACTAGGCTACTTTTTAGTGGCCACTAAGAGGCAAAATGGTGGATTCTGGGGCTTTAGTGACCCCTTAAGTGACTAGAATTTAGTGGCCTCTTGAGGAGTCTTTCAGGAGTGTTACTACTTTGTCACTAAAACTACTTCTGTGGCCAATGAAACGCAAGACAGTTGTTTTTAAAGAGGTCGTTTTTGTGGCCACTTTAGTGTCCTCTCCAGGTAGCCTTTGGGGAGCCTCTTAAATGGCCACTAGAATGAAAAATGAAAAAAGGAATAAAATAATACGGCTTGGAGCACATTAAATAAAAACAACTCAGAAAAGATCCATAAAAAACTGAAAAATGAAGCGAAAATTAGAGGAAAATACAAAAAATTGCTCTGTAAAAGGACCCATTTCGCACCATTTTTCGAACTTTTTTCAGACCAAAAACAAATTTTTGCGTTCTTCCTATAGCCTCCATTTGTTCATAAAACTTGCAAAAATCTCAAATTTTTGCCTATAAAACCACCTCCTTGCCGTTCCACCCATTGACGGTCTCCATGACCGGGACGACTCTGATCGATCCGCCGAACACCTTGATCTCGCCGTAGGAGTTGATCACGTCGCTGACCAGCCGAACCATCAAGTTGCCCTCCATCAGCGAGACCTACAGTTGTACAGTTTTGGGCAATTTTTCTCGCTTTAATCTCAAAAAAGCACATTCGCAACAACCCTGCTTCCTATAGCTGCACCACGGCTGGCTCGAATGAAGGGTCCTGACACGATAGCGCCTTGTTAGTGGATAGCGCAGACAGGCCACGCCCCCTTAGTCCCAAGCTAGCCGTGAAACGGCGATCCTACCTTGGGGACATCGACAAACTGGCTAGCGACGTGGTCGACACGTCTTCTGAAGAACATTCTGGAGACGGCGACGAAGGTCTTCTCATCGACCGCCTGTCGCGCATCGGGAAAAAGTCGCTTCAAGAGGACGTCATAGACGGATGCGAAGAAGCCGTCGAGTTCCTCCGGCTCGACTTTCCGGTAATGGGTCTTGACGAGAGGATACGGTATCGGCGGATCAGCCGGCATCCATTTTGGCATGGCTGAAGTGCTTTTGCTCTCTTTCTCCCGAGAAATTCAAAAAAGAAAAAGATAACTGATTTTTGGAGAGTCAGATAATTTTCAAGCCTACTGGGAAAATTTTAAATGGTGGCCACTATAGGGTTTTGACGTTTTAGTGGCCACGATGACAGAAAAACTCGTGGCCACTTAAGGGGTTAAAAATAAGTGGCCACTATAGAGGTCTAAGTGCTACTACTAGACCACTAACAATTTTAGTGGCCACTCTAGGGGTCAATGGATCAACGTAACTGGTCCAATCTGTTTGTTTTGAAACTATTAGAGTTACTGGAAGGAATAATGGATGAGAAACTACTGAAGTGACCACTAAAACGGAAATTAGTGGCAACTAAAAAGGTGGGTTTAGTGGCCACTTTAGTGTCCTCTCCAAGTAGTCCTTGGCGAGCCTCTATAGTGGCCACTAAAAACTTTCCCAGTACCTTCCAATCTTCAAAAGCTAGAGAGCACTGGAAAACGAGAGGGCGTTCAGAGAAAAAAATAACCTCTAATTTTTGAAGATTCAAACGCAGTTCCTGAATTTCTTAAAGGCTACCGTATTTCAAGGAATTCAGGAAATTTATTCGTATCAATAACAGATAAATCAAGTCAAGGTATGAGCCTTTACTAAAAGCAAGTAAATAATCATAACAATTTCCAAAAATCACAAACCTGCCTTCGCCACATTCGTCGACACCCGACGAACTTTCTGAAAGTCGCAGAAACATTTTAAAAAACTTCAAAAATCTGGAAAAAGGCAAAGAAATTTCACAAATAAGCCTTATTTTAAGTCACAACAGACAGTTTAAAATCTTGAAAATGTATTTTACAATAGACAACAAGTGCAAAAAAATACGAAATATAAAAAAATTTAAATCTTTTCTTTCAAACGAAACCTGAGACTCTGTGGAAATATTCGAAACCCGTTACCTGCGGCGAAGAACCGCTTCCCATCTTCTTTTTCATGTAATCTGAAAAAAAGAACATCAAAGAGCTGGAAAATCTTCAGCGAAATTGACAAAAAGGATAATTTTTAAACGAAAAAAACCACTCTAATCTCAAAAAAATGAAACCATAAACTACTATAAACGAGAAACTACTATGTTTTCAATCGCATAACCTTGAAAAACCTCATTTCTTTCTTTTTAACAGAAACTGAATTTTTTTATTCTCATATAGAGATCTTCAAAAAAACTCACAGATTATTAAAAAAATTATAAACCAATACTCTCTTTCGAAAATCGAAACCTAGAATTTTTTTAAAATTCCAAGAGATTCTCCATAAAGTTTTTTTAGGGACTATATCCATGAAAAAATCGAAAAAAATAATCGTTTTTGGACTCAAAAAAAGTTATAAATTATGTCAAAAACCAGTTAACACGCTGTCTCTGTAACTGTCAAAAAGAGACTAAAAAATCCAACATCAAACCCACCGACGAAGCCAAAATAGGGTTCAAAAGGGGCTTTAGGCTAGACGGGTTCGATAAAAGTCGAGCAAAGTCTTATGAATGTTTACTTTGAAGATGTCAGCTACATATTTGATAGCTTTGGAAACAGCGGTACAGTTGGAAATTTTCAAAAATCGGTTTTTTCAGAGCAAATATTGCTTTTTTAGGCAAATAGTAAGTTCAAAGCTAAATTTCAGTTGGACGGGTTCGGTAAGAGTTGAACAAAACTATATCAATTGTTACCTAGAAGATGTCAGTTACATATTTAATAGCTTTGGAAACTGCGGGATGTCGAAAATTTTTAAAAACGAATGTTTTCAGAGCGAATCGCGCTTTTTCAAGCCAAAATAGAGTTCAAAACGAAGTTTCGGCCAAATATGTAGCGTAAAGATCTCTTCAAACCCCTTTGAATGTTACAAAACATACTGTAGTTATAATCTAGAAAAGTTTTACACCAATATTTAACAGAAGAAAAATGTGAAAAATCGTAAACCACGACCAACCCTCGCCGCAAAGTGCCAAGTTGCGCGCGTTCGGAGTGCAATCTCGAGATGACGGGTTTAGAAATTCGAACTTTTTTTTTTGCCATTGTTTAGAACATACTAGAAGACATATTCCATATGAGTAATTACGATGCGATTCTATGCCCACGACCAGGGTGACCGAAAAACCGACTTTCCAAACACAAAAATTACCGTAACTCGAGAATTCCTACAGTAACCCAAGATAGTATGTACTATAAAAGTTAATGAAATTTGATTACCTATCGATTGATATATCACTTGCCTAGTAAAAAAACTCTTCAATACTTAGATACGCAGGCGCCCACCTGCCTACCGTAACCCGACTACAGTAAGAGGAAATGGCTCAAAAAAAGTTGCGACCGCATTTCTGATGATGGGTTATCACACTGGATGAAGTTTCATCAGAATCAAAAAAATAAAAATTTTTTTGTACCCGTTGCTTTTGAAACTTTTTGAAAATTACAGAGACAGCGTGTTAATTTTTTTGATCTTATAACCTTAAAATTCCTTTGAAAAAAATATTTTTGATTTATTTTTTTCTAACAGAAAATCATTTATTCTCAATAAAAAATCAAGAAAAAAAAAACTAACCGCGATGCCAGACCTCCAGGGAGTTCTCCATTGCCCTGAGCTCGGAAAAAAATTATCTCAATCTGAAAGAAATCGATATTTCAAGATTAAAACCTCAAAAACATCCTTAAAAATTAAAGAAAATAAAAACAAAAAATTTTATACCAATAACAAAAACGACAAAAATACTTGAATCATCAGAAAAGTTCTTTGGAATGATATTTTTGGATGGGTGAAGTTAGGACACAACTAATACTTCTAACAACAAAAGACAGAATAAAATGACGGCTTGAAGCTTATTTTACCTTGGAGATTCAGGGTCACGTCATTTTAATTAAACCAAAATATTCGTTTTAAACGTGAAAAAAGGCAGGAAAAATCAAGATTTGAGGATAGTCACATAAAAAAAGATCTTGAGCAAGATTCAGAGCAATAAAATAAAAAAACCGTTGTTTAAAAATTATTCCGCTTCCTGATCGATTATTGGCCTAGAAAAACGAAAAAAATCAAGATTATTAGCCAGAAAAAAACGCCAAAAATTCAGATAAAAGATCAAATTTTTGATAAATGTAGATATTTCGAGCTTATTTAACAAAAATTCGCACTTCAATTTAGGCCAAAAAAACAAGGAAAAAAATTAAAGAAACTAGTGGAAAAGTTGAAAAAAATTTCGATTTCACAATTTTTTTTGGGCTGGAAACAAGAGAAAAAAACGACAAAAAAATAAGATAAAAAGCACAGAGAAAAAAAGGGGTTTGATGGATTTATAACTCCTGAACTCATTTGATCAACTTTCCACTTGCAAAAGAGTCAAGAAAACATCAAAAATTTAATGAGAGTAAAAATCTAGTTAACTTTTTACGGTTTAAAAAGATTAATAAACTTTCAACTTGATCATTCTCCAAGAAAATGAGGGAAAAAAATCAGAGGAACTTTTTGAAAAAAATTGAACTATTTTTCGATCCATGGAAAAAAATCTAGTATTTTTTTAGCCAAGAAAACGAGGAAAAAAATCAGAGGAAACTTTAATATCATTTTTGATCCATAAAAATAATCTACTATCTTTAGCCAAGAAAAACGAGAGAAATCAGAGGAAAAATTCAACAAAATTAACAATTTTTTTGATCTCACAACAAAGTCAATCTACAGATATCAGCCAAGAAAACAAGGGAAAAAAATCAGAAGAAAATACGAAAAAAAATTCGCCCATTTTTTTGATCCCCGAGAAGCTCAATCTACAATTATCAGGCCAAGAAAAAAAATTAGAGGAAAAATTCGACAAAATTAACCATTTTTTTAATCCACAAAAAGATTTCTTCAGTATATTTAGTCAAGAAAACCGGGAAGATCAAAGAAATAATCGACAACATTAACAATCTTTGATCCCACAACAAAGTCAATCTACAGATATCAGCCAAGAAAACAAGGAAAAATCAGAGGAGAATTCAACAATTCGCAAAAAATCAGGAAACAGGGAAAAATCAAAGATTAGCGATGGCCCAGCGACGATGGAAGGCCATGTCGCGGAAGACGTTGGTGAAGAAGAGCTGGTTGGTGCCGAGGATGTTGCCGTCGAAGCCGTTGACCATGACGGCGGCGAGGAGGGCGTCCCGACGCGAGTACTTCTTCACCTGCGACTGGACCCACACCGTCGGCGTCTCCGCCGTCGCCATCTCCACCTCGTTCAGCTTCCGCGCCGAGAGGAACGAGGCCATCGAGCCGCTCGAGCTCGTGGACAACGTCCCCGTTCGGCTCAGGTCGTTTCTGAGAACAAAAATATGTCTTTAAAATTGGGAAAATGTCCTTTTTAAGGGTTGAAGTTCGTTTAAAACTAAGTTATTATAACTTTCGATTTTTGTCAAAACTTTCCAAAAACCTTGATTTTTCATGATACAGGTTCCTGAGGCTCAGGTCCTTCTTGAGAACAAAAATACGTCTTCAAAATCGGAAAATCATCCATTTTAAGTGTTAAAGTTCACTTTGAAAATTAAAAAATAAAGCAATCAAAACTTTCAGAATAAGTAAATTTTTATCAAAAACCCTGCCATGACTTTCTAGAATACAGGTCTGTACGGCTCAGGTCGTTTCTGAGACAAAACACGTCTTTAAAATCAGAAAATTCGCTGTTTCAATGACAAAAGTTCGCTGCAAAAATTGGCAATTATAATTTCCGATTTTTGTCAAAATTTCCCCCAAAACTCTGCTATGATTTTTCATAATACAATCCCTGAGGCTCAGGCCGTTCCTGAGAACAAAAAGATGTCTTAAAAATCAAGAAAACGTCAATTCAATGGTTCTGAATTTCTAAACAGTATTTTGCAAGAAACTCTGCTGGGACGTTTTGAAAAACAGCCGTTTTTTTTTTCCTTTGCTGTTATATCGGGTATGCCAGCGCACAAGTACTCAGACAGCGTGTAGAACAAGGAGAGTACCAGTCTGGGCTCTCCAAGTTTCCCGTGCTCTCTAAACTGGTGCATGCGCTTCGGCTTGTTTATAGCTCGTTCAGGTTTAGCTAAATTTATCAAAAAAGGTCTTGACACGATGGAAAAGGCCACGCCCATTCAAGCGGCCATATTACACTCAAAAAAAAAACCTTTTTGCAGCACCTATCAAAAATACTCAGAAGCTTGCACTTCATCTGCAGTTACATCCCCCAAAACCTAGTAAATCTACATTTTTCTTCTGAAAGTCCATTTTTCCCCATACGTGGGCTAACAGGCTGTTTTTCACTTTCGGGCCCCCCTATTCATTCAGATGGCTTTCTAAGCCGCGGAAAATGCATCCATATTATTTATCGAGCTTTTCAAAGTACATTTAGTAGGAAATTCGTTGCCTCTCTTTTTGCCTAGCTCCGAACGGTAGATAAAATCGCGGGGAATCGTAAAAATAGCCTTATAAAAAATTCCAGAGCTGATTAATCGACCCGAATTCTAGTTTAAATGGTACCAATGGATGATATATACATGCTCAACAAATTTTAAGCCGTTTGGAAAATTGAAAAAAATAATCAACTTCTGACCCCATAAGAAAATGATTTCTGGAAATCTACAATTTTTTGGCTCAAAATCATTATCAACCTTGAGTTAACCCTAAATAAGGTATACGCTTCAAGTTTCCAGGCTTCCGGACGTTTTTTTGACCAAGTTACAGTGTCTCAAAGCGTTATCACTTGACGGTTTGCGTACCCCCTCAAAATCCGAAAAATCGATCTTTTTTCAATGTTATTTTACATTGTCAAGTGAGTTTTATGATTTGGCAGTTAACTCAAGGTTGATAATGATTTTTGAGCCAAAAAAATTAAAAATTTCAAAATATCAATTTCCGGTGACCCAAAAAAATTATTTTTTTCTTAAAAACTCATCCCAACGGCTTGAAACTCTGCCAAATCATAAAACTCACTTGACAATGTAAAATAACATTGAAAACAGATCGATTTTCGGATTTTTGGGGGGTATGGGGGTACGCAAACCGTCAAGTGATAACGCTTTGAAACACTGTAACTTGGTCAAAAAACGTCCGGAAGCCTGGAAACTTGAAGCGTATACCTTATTTAGGGTTAACTCAAGGTTGATAATGATTTTGAGCCAAAAAAATTAAAATTTCAAAATATCAATTTCCGGTGACCCAAAAAATTATTTTTCTTAAAACTCATCCCAACGGCTTGAAACTCTGCCAAATCATAAAACTCAATTCATAATGTAGGATAACATTGAAAACAGATCGATTTTCGAATTTTGGGGGTCTACGCTAAAAAGTTGAAATATTTCTGTTTTTGGAGTGTTGACACCTAGCTGAATATACTTCCAAAAGCCCGCGAAACAAGATAATAGTCTCATTCAATTCTTATATTAACTTTAATAATCATTTCACATTGATAGTTTTCCGCGGGGGGGTACGTACTTTTTCGAGGGGAGTACGTACTTTTTCAAGGGGGGTACGTGATGACGTCACAAAAAGTAGTTGGTTAGCCCATGTATGATTTTTCCCCGACTCTCC